GTCGCTGTGTTGAAGGCAAGCTAACACGTGGGCTCTCCTCCCAGGCTGGCATCACCACCACCCTGAACTCTCGCTGCTCTGTGCTGGCGGCGGCCAACTCTGTCTACGGCCGCTGGGACGACACAAAGGGCGAAGACAACATCGACTTCATGCCCACCATCCTGTCCCGTTTCGATATGATCTTCATCATCAAGGACCAGCACGACCAGCAGAGAGACATGGTAAGGAGGCCGGAGGCCGAAGGCCTGCGGCGTTAAACCCTCGTGTGGTTGGAGCCGTTACAGAGTGTAACTGTTTGAACGCGTCTGTTTACAGACGCTGGCTCGCCACGTGATGAACGTCCACCTCAGCGCGCAGACGCAGACCGAGGGTGTCGAGGGCGAGATCCCGCTGACCACATTTAAGAAATACATCGCTTATGCAAGAACGTAAGTGTCCTGGAGTTCATATATTAGTTTGATCACACACACTGTCATGTACTTAGTTTAAAAAATAAATAATAATAATAATTTGCCCATTTACAGTAAGTGTGGTCCTCGGCTGTCTGCTGCAGCTGCTGAGAAGCTAAAAAACAGATACGTGGTGATGAGGAGCGGAGCACGAGAGCACGAGAGGGAGAGCGACAAAAGAGCCTCCATCCCCATCACAGTCAGGTAGATTTTTATTTATTTTAATAAATGATCATGTAAATACGTCTTTTTACCCCAGCTTAAGTACTTGGATCTTCTCGCTTCATCGTCTGTCTGATGTTTCGGGTTTTCAGGCAGCTGGAGGCCGTCGTGCGCATCGCAGAGTCGCTGGCTAAGATGAAGCTGCAGGCGGTGGCTGGAGAAGAGGAGGTGGATGAGGCCCTGAGGCTCTTCCAGGTTTCCACGCTGGACGCTGCACTGTCTGGCAGCCTTTCAGGTGGGCGTTGGTCATGTTTTTGGGTCTAGTGGATAGATCTACCTCATTAAAGTGAACCACATTAGCTATTCCATTAAAGAATCTTTTGTTTTTGTTTTTAATTTGCTGGAAGCCAAGTGTTAAGCCTCAGCTAAGCATGCCAACCACATTTTGTGTCCAGGAGCGGAAGGCTTCACTTCTCAGGAGGACCAGGAAATGATCTCTCGCATCGAGAAGCAGCTGAAGAGACGCTTCGCCATCGGCTCGCAAGTGTCAGAGCACAGCATCATACAGGACTTCACCAAACAGGTGAGAACATCAACCTGGGGACACAACAGTGATTTGACTCTGTGCCCAGCTTGTGTTTTGTGTTCCATTGGGATGATTACAGGAATAGTGTTCAGTTCTCTTTTGTCAGTCATGTATAAACAGACCTGAGAAACATTTTTTTACATGCCTGACAAAAGAATCAGTTTTGGTCTGGGTCCTGTTAGTGACCTCTTTCTGTCCTTCCTGCAGAAATATCCAGAGCACGCCATCTACAAAGTCCTCCACCTGATGTTAAGGAGGGGGGAGCTTCAGCACCGCATGCAGAGAAAAGTGCTCTACAGAGTCAAGTAGAGAAAAGTGCTCTATGAGATAACCATATTGTTGTTGATGTAAATAGTTTTCATTTGTGGTGTTATGTTTGCCAGAATAGTGTCTCATCTCAGCTGTAGCTCTGTACAGCAGGATGCATGCCAACAGGGTGGATGAAGAGTCACTGCTAAGATGGTCCTAGTGCTTTGTATCAAGCTAAAGATGTTACTTAATGTCTGCATACCGTGTTTAAAAAAAATAAATAACAATAAAGTATTGAAATTCACATTAAAATGTTGAGAGTATTTCTTTTTTTTTATTAAACAGATCATAAACGGAGACACGATTTGATGAATATACACAAATGACAAGTAAAATCACTGCTTTGGCTTGGAGTTGACAGATTGTCCAAATTTCAGTCATGATTTCTCTTTCAGAGCCAAACTGAGTAAAGTGCAAAATGTGCATGTCACACACTGTATATAAAAGATGGATGGAGCCTTTGTAATCCCACTCACTGGTTAGTGACGCCTCAAGTCTTGCAACATCACAAAATGTAATTTATATTCTGCAAGAACCATCGACGGTGCAAAATATGGTTGTAGCTTCTGGGTTTGGAATGTGAAGCAAAGGTGGAAGCACCTTTTAAAACTACAATCTCTTCAGTCACCACCAGGGGGCGACACAAACAACCTTTCATGACTTTGCCAAACACTTTCCGGACTTTTCTGTGGTCCTGATCACTGGTTTGAGGTCATATTCAGAAGAAAATTGAGTCATTTTTCTAAATTAAGAGAATTCCAAGAGGAACAAATAGGTGATGTAACAATAGCTCTTTTCATCTTTATCTGTATGCCTTAAACTGGTGATTGAGACCATGAACCTTCAAGACTTCCTTTTAAAATCATTCATACATATTCTCCTGTTTGCCTTCATTTTTCAAACCCAGAAGCTAAAGCCATGTCTTATGTACAATCTATGATTCACAACCAGTATAAGTACAGGTAGAGCCTACAAAGCATACATTCCCACTCCAATAGTGGCCAGCGCAACACACAGTCCCACGGTGAACTGTACGATGGATGACGACGGGAGGACGGCCGCTGGGGATCTGTCTTTGTGCTGGTCCGCACTTTCTGTTGCAACACTCAGCATTTTCTGCAAGTCATCAAAAACCTACGAGAAAACAAGGGGTTAAAAAAAGGGATTGCAGCGTGTTGCAATGTTGAAGCGTGTTAGCTTCAGTTCCTCTTTCAGCTGAGTTCACTGAGAACTGTGGAGCAATTCTTGGTGTCATTTTTGGTCAGGGCTTGCACAGAAAAAATTCGTCCTGAGGTCTCTCACCTGTATGTTCAGCTCAAAGGCCTGCACGGCCTCCTCCAGCACCGCGGCCTTCTCCTTCTCCGTCAGCTCGATGCTGTTCATCCGACTCCTGTACAGCTGCTTGAAACGGTTGGGGCTGCTCACACCGGGGAAGTGGAAGAAGGAAAGCCCCTCTTTGCTGCTCAGACCGAGAGATTTCTGGGTAATCTTTCCCAGCACTTGTCCCCCTGAGAGATCACCGAGGTAGCGAGTGTAGGCGTGGGCCACTAGAAGCTCTGGGTTCTCTCTGCCGATCTGAGAATGTAAGAAGGGGGAAGTGTTGCGCTGGTTCTTGTGCGCTCTGAGTTATGAATCATGAATGACGTCAAAACGCGGTGCTCACCTGTCGCAGTCTCTGGCCGTATCTCTGTGTGGCTGCAGGGACGATCACTCTCTTCCTCCACTCTGATCCAAAGAAATGCTCCAGGTCTCTTTCCAGTGATTCCACACGGGAAAGCTCCTGAGGGAAGTAAATTGGTGCAACGGCTGGATGGGAAGCATTCCTGTCCATCTCATCTTCCAGAGCCCTGTAGATCTCGTAGAGGGAGCACAGCAGGACCTAAAAGACGCATAAAGATAGACATCCACTTATAAGAAAAAAAAGAAAAGGAACAGAAAGTGGTTTGTGTATCCAGCCACTGTGCACACTTCACCTTATACTGAACCAGAGTGATCTCTCCCTTTTGGTAACTCAGCATCAGCTGTGTGTTTTCAGCCCTCACGTGGTTGTCCTTAGTGGCTGCTTTAATCTGCTCTGATAAATCGCTGAGCCAGAAGGGAAACACAGAAAGGGAGCAATCATTCAACATGTCCTAAAATGTCTTTAAGTGCAAAAGCTGCGAATTTCCAGTAAAGTGATCTCCCATACCTGCCGACTTCTCCTGTCTCATTCTTTCTCGCACTCTTCATCGTGTCCATCTGTTCAAATGGTTTCATTGGTTTAGTATAGGTACACAAAATGTAAGAGTGTACATATATAATGCATTTCACTCACATTCAGTAAAGTGTAGTTGAGTCTTCGATCCTTAGAGCTGGCGGCTGTCAGCGTGTCCGGTCAGTTCCTCTGAACGGTTGCTCCTCAGTACATGGCCTCGCAGCTCCCTCCCTCCTCTTTTATACAGCTGTGAAGCTCCAGCTGCTGAGTCAAATGAGAAGTGTGATTGCTGAGTCATGCTTCACATGACAGGGGAGATGTGGACACAGCAGCAATATCAGAAAACATGACGAGGCATTAAAGCTTATTTTCTTGAATCATGTTTGAGCTGGCTTTGGCTACATGTGGCTACAGAGTCCTTATGGAGAAACAAAGTAGCATGTAATGTATTCTCAAAACCTGTAGCTATTATCTGTCAATTGTTAGCATTTTTGTTGTTGTTGTTTTTTGTTTTTTTCCATTAAAAAAAAACATCTATTAACAGGGGACAGAGCAAGAGGTCTTGAACTTAATGTCACAAGAAGCTACACCAAGAAGCCCCAAAAAGACGAGGAGCTTATTGGCTCCAAGTTTGCCTCGCAATATAAGGGCCCCCCGAAAAAATCTGCTGGCTGTATAACTTCTAATAGTTTAGAAATACATTTTTGTAATTTGTTCATGTAAAAAGTGTGTAGTAACTCTTGTATAGCTACAACACTGAAAGGCACAATCAAGCTTTATACACTACTGTGCAAAACCACTTTACTTCCAAGGAGACAGACTTTCTTAGTATTATTTCAGTAGTTCTCCAGGCTTTCTGCAGGTCTTTAAAAGCTGTTCTTCTTTACACATTGTCTGCTTTTTCACTTATTTCCAGTCCAGTCCTGTTACCTGACTATATTCAGAGGATTTTCTTTTTTTTTTTTTTTAAGTAAGCAACTTAACACTGATACCTTAAAGATTTGAGCATCTAGCTCAAACCGTGAACCATTTTTGTATCTGCATAACACAGACAGCTTTGAAATTGTATCTGTAGACACTTTGTTACAAGCAAAAAATGAGTGGCAATATATCTTATGACGTGAGAAATATAAATTTTAAATCTTTGCTTCGATGTTTCATCAATATATACAGATGAGGTTGTATTTAAACAGGAAACTAAGCTCTGTGGATATTTGTTAGCTCTAAAACATTAAAATTCAAGGCTGAAAGCAAAGACAGCGGCAACAACAAGCAAACTTTCGCACATATGAGTATCTTCTTATCCATGACGTCCGCTACCCAATCAAAAGCTAGCAGTACTGCATCGCTCTATATGACCACTCAATGATAATGAACAAAATTTGGCAAAACGTTGCCTAGAAATAATTAAAAATACATTTTAAAGTAAATTAAGTTATTTCAGAAAGATAAATTAGTTTTAATAATTTAAGGAGAGAACTTTCCATTTGGAGGTATTACACACAGACATATAAAGTAGTGAACTGCTGACTAAAAGCTGTTTTAGCCGAGAACAAAACAGCTGTACCATGTTTTTAGGGAACTTTACCGGAAGTGATGTCAGAACAAAGCAGTCCCTGCCAATTGAAAGTTTACCGCCAATAACTGCGCAGAAGAAAAAAAAGAGAAAAAACGAAGAGGAAACAATAACTACTTCACTTTCGTGACGCCAAAGACTCTCTTCACGCGAGGAGTTGTGTCTTTAAAAAAAAATCCTGGATGGCTACGATGGCTTCCGACGACGAAGCTGCTCCTGAACTGCTTGAAAGCGAGGACGAAGGAGAGTCTGGCGCAGAAAGTTTCCTCACGGAGGACGAACTAGCTTACGACGAGGGGCTCGATCCTGCGGAAGAGTAAGTATACTGTATTTACAAGCTAATGCAGCTTTAGTACGGGCAGAGTTTGATGGTGTTTAGAGCAAGACTGCATGCGCTATAGTAGTCAGGTATAAAAACCTGCAGACCGTAAGCCAGCCATATAAAATATTTAAAAATATTTTTTTTAAAAGTACGTTAATGTATTCAGAGAGAGCTGTGGTTGCATGATAATGCACAGGACAGATTTTTGCACTTGGATAAAACTCATGAATACATAAATGAGGAGTAGAAATGGCATAATATGTAAGTATGGTAGGACACGTGACGTGTGGCAGGAATAAATAATAAAAAAATGAAGTTTTTAAGTGGTTATAACACAGTTGATGGCAGTAGATCAACATGTGCTTAATTGTGTAGGTGTATTTTAGGGGTTTGGGTCAGTGAAATGAACTGATGAAATGAGTGCTATGTTCTTTACTTGCACCTTTGGACTTTATCTGGTCACACTGTGTGTGTGTGTGTGTCTGTGGGTGGGTGGGACGGTGGGGGTTAGGGTTTTAGCCATAGTCTTCATAGTACACATTCTTGTGGGGGATGGGGCCTTCCAGGCACAGGATATAAGCAAACCTACACTACAGGTTTAAGTCTGGATGGGTTGGAGGAACAGCATCTGGCAATTTCAACCATTCTTTATAGTTTATACTGCGAAAGATTTGAACCACAAAAACACTGGCCTGAGATAAATGACCATAATATTTATTCTGTTTCTTTCAGTTATGATGGTCAACAGGATGGGCACACAGAGCCTTGCACCTCTGGTGAAGAAGATGCCAACCACTCTGCTTATTGTGAAGAAGACGGTTCTTCACTCAGTGTAACGAGAGGCCATAAAAGAAAAAGATCTCCACATTCAACAGCCAAATCCTGGAAAACAGAGAACGATCCAGACATTTGTCCGCCGCCTAACAGGTTCGTCCCAGCCCGACCACCCGGACATCAATTGAATTCAAACAACAAACACATGCCGCTGGACCTCTTCAAGCTGTTTCTCAGCAATGAAGCCATTTCAACTCTTTGTGAGAACACAAACAAACAAGCAGCCAAAAACATTGGAAAAGGCAAAAAGTATTCATGGACTGACCTCGACGTCCCAGAGTTCCTAAATTATGTCGGACTCACTTTCTTCTTTTCACTGGTGAAACTGGATAACATCTGTGACTACTGGAAAAAGAACACGATATTCAGTGTGCTGTTTCCGGCTGACGTCATGTCACAGGACAGGTATCGGGTGATATCTTGGAACATCCACATGAGTGATCCCGAGGAAGATGTTGAGAATGACAGGCAGAAGGGAACGCCGCAATACGACCATCTGTTTCGATTGAACCCCCTAATGGACACCATCAAACACGCCTGCAATACGTTTTACCACCCTAGGCAGAAGCTTCTGATTGATGAGAGGACAATAGTGAGGAAGAACCACGCTGGAATGATTCAGAAAGGGGCAGCAAAACCAAACAAGTTAGGTTTCAAACTCTTTGTTCTGTCTGACAGCAGCAACGGTTACATCTTGGACTTTGCTGTGTACACTGGAAAGTCACGGTTTGAGTCAGGCACTGGGCTTGCATACGACTCTGTTATGACCCTGATAAAGTCTGCACACCTGGGCAGTGGTTATAACCTGTTTCTGGACAGTTTCTACACCAGTCCAAAACTCTTTAAAGACCTGCTGAGCCTCAATGTTGGAGCGTGTGGAACATACAGAGACAACAGGAGAGGCTGCCCAACCACACATTCAAATGCTCTGACAAAAAAGGATCCCAAAGGCACCCTGAGGTGGATCCGCAAACCTCCTGTGGTTTATGTGAAGTGGAAGGACTTCTGTGAGGTCAGCATCTGCTCTACAGTCCACCAGGCGTTCTCTGGACACACCGTGGAGAGGAGAGTGAAAAGTGAGGATGGCAAGTCGACCGTCGGATTCATTCCATGCCCGACACCTGTCATGGAATATAACAAGTACATGGGAGGTGCTGATATGTTAGAACAGTTGACACAATCCTACTCTGTACACCACAAAACATCACGCTGGTACCGTGTACTGTTCTTACACTTCCTGCAGATTGCAGCCACCAACAGCTTCCTGCTTCACAAGGAGCTCTGCAGAGAGAAACACGAGGAACCCATGACTCACAGGGCCTTCCTGGAGGAGCTGACTGCCCAGCTGTGTGGCGTAACAGTCGCCGTCCCCCCTACCAAAGGCCCGAGTGGCCACCTCCCCGTGCCGATCTCCAACCAACCCGATGCAAGCAAGAGGGCCTCGTACGGACGAAGGACCTGCGTGCAGTGCAGGCTGATAAAGAAGGAATATCAGTCTACCCCCTGGAAGTGTAGGGAGTGCGATGTGGCCCTGTGTCTTATTGCAGACAGGAACTGCTTCGAGGCGTGGCACGAATAATGTCGAGATTAAAAAAAAGCAGGAAGGAAGGACTTATGTGAAATTAGTGTAAACAGTTATTTCTCTGTTTCTTGGATTGCTTTTTTTACCCTTAAAAAACAACTCACGTTCTTTAATTTTGTGTTCTGAAATAAAGTTTTCTCACTTTCAGTAGATGCTTGTTTGTTGGTCTTTATGCACGGCAGCACACATAGTTTCCCAAAATGTTTATATACAGTAATATTGATTAAACCAGCCACAGAGGTAATATTGATTACACATAGCTGAAATTTTTAAGTATTTCTATATTAACTTGTTTTTAAATATACAATCATATCAATTATCTAAAAACTATACATGTTATTTTGAAATTTTCAAATATATAAATCAACAGATAAGCAGTGCTTAAATTTATAAGACCACCCAATGTAAGGCTTATGCCACAGCTGCCCTAAATTACCAGGTTTTTTTCCCAATACGTCTTGTGGGCTATAAAATGCCAGTGCTGCTCAGTCACGTGGACATTGTTATGGCCAATGTGTGACCCACCTGCCACTGGGACACAACTTCAACCTCAGAGCAGTAAATTTAGGTCATAGTAATGAGTAATATCACAAACTAACCTGCTCCTGCTACCCATTTTAATACAGTGTTTATATAGATAAATATATGTATATAAAAATGTAACTGTACATACTTGTTAGCGTTTTCAAACTGAATTTGTTATCACTTAAGCCTGCAGTACGTTCGCTGTCCACCAGGGGGCCCTGGCCCACACTGCTGGAAAAGCAGTCACAGATAAAGCTACCCAGCAGTGTGTAGCTGTATAATTAAAGTGCTTTATTCATTAAAGAATAATAATGATGCAATAATTTAGCCTATATTATTCCAAATAGGGGGCACACTGCATCATGAGTACTTTTGCTGTATGGAAGTGTATTATGATGCTAAAATGTTTGTACTTTTACTTACTCCAGATTATGACTTATAGCTAATTGTCTAAGCACGTTTTATTATTTATTTTTTTAGATAAAATTATATCAGACACATTTTGTTATTCCAAACTGTATTTATGTAACTGTTGAGTAATTCCCCATTATAAGAACGAGTCTTTCCTTCCTTTCTCGCCTGCTCCGGTCGTAAACACGCCCCCTGATGCACGCTCCCCTCCATTGGTGTTTGTCATCCGGGGGCGAACTGGGCTGTGCCAGTGGATTTGTGGAGGACTGCTGCTCTCTCTCGCACAGAGAAATCTGTGTAAGATGCAGGACAGTAAACATGTAGCAGCCGTGACCGGATCGACACGCGGTGAACTCCAGATGCTGCGCGTGAAGGATCGAGCCATTTGAAAGGTGAGGTGTGAGGTCTCCGTGTTTGACGACGCTAGCTGTTCTCACATCTGGTTGAGCGGGCGAAGGCAGTGGCTGCATCCTCGACGGAGTGATATAACATCGGCTGGAGAGTTCACGGAGAGCCCGGGATCCTCTGGGACCCTACACCTGTGTCTCTTAGCACGGTTCTACTCGCTTCAGCCCTACTAATGATCGCCTTGGGTTCCCTTTAGGTTTTATACCGAATACGTTTCTGTGGCTTCATGTGGAGCTCCTGCATGGAGCCCGTTCTCCCAAATACCTACGCAGGCTGGGCTCGGACACAGTTAACTTGACCAAACTTGTTCGATATTTTTACATGACAAATACGTTTTATCATAAAATCCAGACTTGTTCTGTTTATAACAATCCAGGTACTATTGAAAATTGTTCATTTATTGAAATAGGTTGGTTTTGTGTGGGGAGGTGGCACATAGGGAGGACGCAAGAGGAAGATGATCAAAATGTTCGATGATAAAAAAACATACAGTGTAGAAAACTGGTTTGGATAAAATTTGTACGATTTTTAGGTTCAGATGTAGTGCCGTGCCCTTATACACATGGATTACATCAAGTGGGACTGCACTGCACAAGAACCTGTAAACAGCTTTGTATTGGAACTGATGATACACCACAGTTGGCTAAAGAAAACTGGAAAAGTGTTGCCTGCACTGATGAGTCTCAGTTTATGCTTCAGGATTCAGAAGGCGCGGTGAGAATTGGAAATAAACAACATGATCCCTCCTGCCTAGTGCTAACGGTTTTGTGGTGTGATGGATATTGTCTTTGGGCCCCTTAGTAGCTGCTGAGCATTACTTAAATGTCATATCCTACCTGACTGATGTTGCTGTCCGTGTCCATTCCTTTATGACCCATCTTCTGACGGCTGCTTCCAGCAGGATAACACAAGATAACAAATCATGTCGCAAATAATCTCAAAAGGGTTTATAAAAGTCGAATGTTTCATTGTTATTACCTATATATTCATCGTGTTAATATATATATATATTTTTACTTCCATCATTGCCTCATATTCATCAGGTTATGGATCCGAGCCTTCCTTCTGTCATCCTTTTCATCCTGATTGGCTATGTTTTAAGCTCTTTTGATAACCGCCACCACAATGTCACCCGCCGGTACGACTACTGCGTGCTTGGAGCCGGCCCCGCAGGACTGCAGATGGGATATTTCCTCTCCAAGGCCAGGAGAAACTATGTCATCTTGGAGAGGAACTCGGGACCCGGCAGCTTCTTCAACAAGTAAGGAACTTTGGGCGAGCTTTCAACAAAACACACGCGTTATCCTCCCGTATAAACTCTGAGGGACGTCTTCTCTGCTTTGTTTTGTGCATGGCAAGGTTTCCCAGGCACAGGAAGCTCATCAGCATCAATAAGATCTACACCGGAAGGGGGAACCGAGAGTTCAACCTGCGCCACGACTGGAACTCGCTGCTGAGCGATAAACCTGACCTCCTCTTCAAGAGGGTCAGCGATGAGTTTTACCCGCCCGCTGACGCCTTCCCTCAGTACCTGTCCTTGTTTGTGGGGGAGCTAGGGTTGAGGGTACAGTATGGTGTTGATGTCGGGAGGATCAGGGCAGTGCAGTCTGCAACGGGAAGACACTACATCCTGACTGACCAACATGCGTCAGACTACACGTGCAGGTATTTTGTCTCTTGATGATCCTCGGAGGAGAAATTTGCATTGGTTTGGATTGTTCTGTTGCACTCTTGTCCTCTCTCCGTCAGCATCCTCCTGGTAGCCACGGGCCTGTGGGTTCCTCACATGGTGGACTTTGTCGGTGCAGACCTGGTTGAGGGCTATGAGTCCATCTCCACTAACCCCGACGACTACAAGGACCAGGCCGTGCTCATTCTGGGAAAGGGAAACTCTGCTTTTGAAACAGCCCAGAGCATCTTAGGAAGAGCGAGTCGGGTGCACATGCTCAGTTCCAGCCCCGTTCGCCTTGCGTGGCAAACGCATTACGTTGGAGATCTCAGGTAAAATAAAGGATGGTTTCAAAACAATCATTACTTATTATGTCCCATTTTATTTCTTAAACCTGCTCCCCTGCTTATCCAGAGCTGTGAATAATGAGCTGATAGATACATATCAGCTGAAGTCCCTCGATGGGCTGGCGGAGGCCCGTCTGGAGAAGATCGTTATCGCTCAACAAAAGGAGGAAGACAAGAGGAGACTGGGTGGAAAGAAGAAAGAGAAAAGGAAACAGCTGTATCTCACGTTAAATAAGTACATGCACAGTAGGAACAGTTTTGATGCGACACAGGAAGAACTGCCGGGGCATCACATCGACAACTTCCCCATGCGAAAACCCTATGATCGAGTCATCCGATGCCTCGGATTCCGGTTCAACTTCAGCATATTTGACAGGTGAAGGTTGATGTTATGTGCTCTTCTTATTCTATCTAAGCACAATATGTAAGATAAGCCTGCTCATATCGTATTAAAAAATTCTCCTAAGCTCCGCCTGCCCACCGAACAGTGAAAATGCCAAAGGGAGGTTGCCTGAGTTGACGCCCTGGTACGAAGGGAAGAACACCCCGGGTTTGTTCGTGCTGGGAACTGCATCTCACTCCAGAGACTATCGCTCATCTGCTGGCGGCTTTGTGCATGGATTCCGTTACACAGGTGACAGACTGCTGTTGTTTTGTGACATTTTGAAATTCCCGTCACCGTTTGTTAAAGGCACCGTGGCATCAGATGATCTATTGCAAATGTAGTTGGTACGACAGAAAAGTGAATTTTGTGCCAGTTCGACCTGTGATCAGGATGATTTTAACATGAACTGTGTTTTGTCTAACACAGCACGAGCTGTACATCATTTACTTGAACACCGTTACCACAGGAACGCGTGGCCATCAACACAACTGTTGGCAACACATTTGCAGTCGTGGATTCTGAAGCGGGTCGACGAGGCCTCGGGGCCATACCAGATGTTTGAGGTGCTTGGAGATGTCATACTTCTTCGAGGGTAAGTATTTATTGCATGCTTGCTTGTTCCAGCTGTTCTCTTTTTTCCACTCTTGCTCATTCATGCTTATTAGGTTACATGTCCTGATAGTCTCAGAACTCATACTGACTTTTGGGGGGAGCAGCTAACTTTTTGGGGCATCCCTTGTAGTCAAAGGCCACTTTTACAAGTAATAAGTATGCAGTCTAAAACATGGGTATCCATGATCTGATTCTACCTTCCAAAAATTGCAGCACTGTTCCAGTTTTCTGTTGGCAAATTCTGGTAAGCTTGTGTAATCTTTTCCTCAGTTTCCTGTTCAGGAGTGGCAACGTTTTTCTTCTGCTGCTGTAGCCCATTTGCTTCAAGTTTTTACATGCTGTGCATTAAGAGATGCTCATCTACATATCTTGGTTGTTACAAGTGGTTATTTGAGTTACTGTTGTCATCCTATCGGCTTAAAGCAGCATCAACAAGGCATTTTTAGCCAGAGAACAGCTGCTCACTGGACATTTTCTTTAAACCCTAGAGATGGTAATGTGGGGAAAATCCTAGTAGATCAATACTTTCTCAAACACTCAGTCTCAAACACTCTGACACCAGCAACAATGCGATGTTCAAAGTCACTTAAATCACATTTCTTCCACATTCTGTTGCTCAGTTTGAATTGTGGGAGCTCAAAGTGATCATGTCTACATGCCTAAGTTGCATTGTCAAACAAATGTGCTTGTATTGTTGAGAAAATGTTTTTATCCTTGATTCTAATCTGCTGTTTAGCCTGTTTTACACTGCTGGAGCTGCAGCTACTAGAACAGAATACCTGTTTAATCAAATACATTCATTTCACTCTGATCTTCGAACAAACTAAATTGATGTCCAGTTCCTTCAATATTAGGCAGTTATTGTCCTTCTTTGCCAGAAGAGTAAAGTCTCCAAACTATGACACCGCCTTACATCATCACAAGAAACAAAGCTGCAGTTCTTGATATTCATTATATATTTTATTCTCCTTTCTACTTGACTCTAAGGTCTCACTGTGAATACTTGGAAGAGTTTCCACTCCAGGCCCTGCCTCAGCTTTCCTCTCTTTCTGGCCACGATGTCTCCATGCATGGACTAATAGTTGTAGTCATGCAATATGGGAAGAAGAAAATAGACTATCTGGGGCGCAGCAGGGCAGAAACAGAGTGGACTAATGCTTGGAAATCCAACTTTCTTCACCCTGTTTTATACTACTATAAAACACTACCTTCTGGTGAGTAGGAATGGTGTCACCATCAAAAAAAGATTCGCTGTATACTTGACAGGTAAAAAATAAAATGTGATCTTTTTTCCCCCCCAGTGGAAGAAATGAAGCTACGTCCCAATGGCTGGCCTTTACCGCGCCCCCAAGCCATTCATCACATAGTGGAGGACTTCCTCACAGAATGGGACGCTCCAGTATCTCACATCCAGCCACTGCGACGCTTCCTGGAGCACTGTCTCCAGACTGACCTCAGGGCCTTCTATGCAGGTAACGCACACATTAACAGCTTATCTGGCAAAAAAGAATGGTATGTTCCTACTTTTTCAGTTTTTAAATTTTCCAGAGAAACACGTCTAAGAAAAGAAGTACACCTGTGAATAAAGCATGCTTTCAGTTTAGGTTTAGGTAGCTGCTCTGCACTGTGTTGGCAATGGTATTGAAGAAGATAATAGTGAAGGTAATAATAGTAAAAATCACTTTCAGAAAGACATCTACTGTAATTTAATGTATTCCCTGTGTAATCCATTGTTCTAAATTTAAAGGGAATTAAGAAATGATCAGACAAATAACATGACTTCTTTCAGCAGCTGGCGGATTGACTCATTCCCTTCTGTCCTCCGGTTTGTCAGAATCCTGCTTCCACTTATCCCTCACCCACCGCACGCCACCACTGTTTTGCCAGCAGGGATACCTGAAGCAACAGGGGATCCCTCGCAACAGCCAGCTGCGACAGCGCGTTCATGACGCAGGACTGACGCACACCGAGCAAGACGTAGGCACATCCGATGCTGACTCGACATTTCCAAATTACCTGGCACCAGCTGGAGCATCCGTATCTTCAGGACTGAAACTTGACTTATGATTGTTTTACCTAAGCGTGCAGCATGCACCTGTAAGATTTTTCAGAATTGCTACCTCCAGCACTTGCAGTCATTACCTCCACGAGGCCAAATCTTTTTTGGACAGAATGCCATCCTACAGATCTGTGTTTCCCAACCTGTTTACCGGCTTGAAACAAAGCAGTTTTTCTTAGAGTTCTGCTGCTTGATTGTTTCAACCAAAGACTAATTCTCCCTTCTTTATGTTATTAGTATTCAAAGTATTAAATAAAACAAAGAACTACAATTATCCTTTATTATATCACGTTGATATATTTCCTATTCTCTAAGCTGACTGCTGATGCTTTAGATATATCATGTGACCATCATTGGGAGTCAAGACCTGCAGATTGGAAACCACTGCTCATCACTTTAGGGAGAGGTACGCTGTCCCATAAAAGCTCCCAAGTAATTATTTTCACAAGTGTTTGTATACAGGATGTTGTGTGTTATTTTCATATCATGCAGATCTATATATCATGTAAAGCTCTACAGGTGGAGGGTGGGTATCACAAATATTTATGCATAAAAATTATGGTAAATGATTAAACAAACATCAAAAAGGAAACTCTAGTTATTTTTGTTTGGTTTTTTTTATTTAAATTATTGGCTTTTGGGTAACATTAGTGCATTTCTCAGTGCGCATGCCCAGCGCAATCGTCGGCCCAGCACTGGGACAGTTTGATTGGCTGCTCGATTGCCATCGTGCCATTGGACGGAAGTGAGTGAGCATCTCTTAATCTGATTGGTGATTCATACTTCGAGGTTGTTGGCTGTATGATGGGCGTGGCTTTTACCCGATGAAGTGGAAAATGTGCAATAGGGGACATTTTGATGTGTGAAGGAAAAAGGCGTCCGCAGTTTAAACACTTTACATTTTTCCAGGATGCAGTGACGCCACCGGGAGAGTAACTGTGTTTTCTGACACTGTGTAACGGCCCGAAGAGTCGGTGCAAGATAAACATGCTTCAGACGAGGCGGACTCCCGATGCTACTCGCGGCTTTATTTCCCTTTAGCTTCAGCAGGAGTTGTAAGGTACCTTATGCAACGAGTACAGCGCAAAAATAGCTTCTTTATGCCAAGATAAAGTATGGATGGGTGGAGCGCTATCCCTGCCTCGGATAATGACCCGTCCAGCTCGGAGGGGGAATACATGGTGGAGCAGGGACCCGAAGAGGAAGCGGCGGACAGGGAGCAGCAGCAGCAGCGGGGTAACGTGGACGGGATGGACGACATGGGCAACGGTGCTGTCGGGTTTGGGATGAGTGGGACAGGGGAGGGCAAAGTGGTGCTGGGTCGACTCGGACAGAGAGACGACAAAGAACTGAGGTACCTGCACTTGCTGTGGGAACCGGGGCGAGGAGAGTTCGGTGCGGGTGATGTGGCGTGCAAGCTGGGGAAGATAACGGGGAGCAGGGCCAGGCGGCACCACAGAGCCGTGCGGAACCTGGGTCCCATCGGTAAAGATGTTTATGGTAAGCAACGGTATGGTAAAAGAAATAGTGTGTGCGGAGTTGTAGTTATGTGTTTGAAAATGTCGCTGCACAAACTAAGTAGTGCTGTGCAAGACTGCAAATGTTGGTATCGATCCGATACCAAGTGAATAACAGGTCGAGTGTTGCCGATACCGATGCTTTTAACCTATAAAGGTTATGTCATGAGATGAATCATCATCAATTTGCAAATTCTTTTGAAACTAACTAACCAGCACTAACTCATACTGCTAATGTCACATAAACTGAGAGCTGGTATGGTAACAGTGAAAATACATGTCAGTAAGTAATGCATGCTGAGAAGATGTGTCACAGTGAATAAGAACATAATTCTCAGTGTTGAAGTTCTTATTCCTGTGTTGTTAATTGATAAAATGCTCCTCTGTATAAGGTCTCACATCTAATGCAGTGCAATTTGCTTCTTTCCATGAAATCCGGAAGAAATACTAACGTCCCTGTCATTGAATGTTTTCTTTTAACAGCTGCCAAAAGACTGAGGGAAGCAGCAAACAGCAATGATATTGACACAGGTATGAACAATGTTTTTTTATGTAGCAGATTAAAACAGGGTTGACAGACAGACAAAAGCCAGAATATTAAATTTAAAAAGAAAGGCTGACATTAAAGCCAAAAACAGAACAGGGGTTACATTAGAGATTACATGGAAAACACGGCATAGACATACATGAAAGACAAATTGCCAACATAATTAGTAATACTAACAAAAATGTGCTTTTTGTGAGCCTTGGGCTTTTAAATGTAATTTTTACTCTTGGAATAGCCAGTAAAACACTGCAACGTGACCACATTGTAATTAATGCACCAGCACAAATGCCACCAACGACATTGACCACTTCAGTGTAGGTTACATCATAGCCTTCACAAAGTTTCACCCCACAAGTTAAAATCAGGCCTAAAGATCAACTCTACAAGGAGAAAGGTCAGGATTGAGGTGATGTGATGACATTTGCTAAAACATCAGAAAGCCTAGCTGCTGCATTTTTAAGTAGTTGGAGGTGAGTGAGTGACTTTTCATTTATACCCAGAAGGAGAGAATTGCATGGGGTCTTGCTTAAACAAAAGAAAAGCATGGGTGAATACAGTAAAATACCTTGCGAGCACTGTCTGGGAGGGATGACTTCAAGTTGTGTTTTTCTATTTCCTTTTTTTGAAATTCACATTTTCTTCCTCAGTCCGAAAGCTCCTGCAAGATGATATAGACCCCTGTGCAGCAGATGACAAAGGAAGGACAGCTCTTCATTTCTCTTCGTGCAATGGCAATGAGAGCATTGGTAGGTTGTCAGTGGCAGATTTTGTTTACTGCGCTTCAAATAACTCTGACTGATGCTCATAAATGTCCTTACCTTTACCTGGATTTAATATCAGTTGATCATTGTTCTTTCCCAATGTCTGTTTTATGTTTATAGTGCAGTTGCTGCTGAGCCACGGTGCTGACCCCAACCAGCGAGACAGTCTGGGGAATACCCCCCTCCATCTGGGTAAGAGACCATGACCCAGAAAACTCAAAACTAAAACTGAAGTCAGATTTCTGCATCGGATCGTGTATTTCTTTCACAATTCACTTTTTTCACCCCATGTTCCTACAGCGGCCTGTACCAACCATGTGCCTGTAATCACCACACTGCTAAGGGGAGGTAAGACTTTTGTACAGCGGCTAAATTCTCCATCTTTGTGAAACAATTACCAGAACTATATTGCTTTAGATATTATAAGGAGGTGTATCGCCCTAAGGAAACGTGTAAGAATTCATGCATGTTTCTTTTTAAGCACTTGGAACAGTGGAAATGGGGGTGGAGTACTCCAGTTACAATGACATTTGTTTTTTACCAGTGGAGTTTGTCCAAAAACTTAACGCTCAAGTCCGGGAGATAATTAAAATCCAGTGCATATGCATCAGCCGATCAGAGATTTGTCTACCAGCTGCTAATAATTCACCACAGAGTGTCCTGATATGGTAATAAACCAGACAACATGCAGTACAATGTGGTGTTAGTAGGGTTGTAGTTAGCCAGCTAGCTTTAAATTAGACATGATACTTGACTCTGGCGGTGGCTAATTTATGGTGTTAGCTAATAAATTAATAAAGTACACAAGCTAATATTAGCCTAAAGAAAGACAGCTTGAGGCAGGTTTTGAGCATGGACTGAGTATGTAAAAGATGGACATAGCTTCCAGATCTGAAAAACTATGCAAATATGGAAGTGCCCAGAACCTCTGACTCATTTTAATGGCCACAAGGAGGCGACGCATCTGGTTTTATAGAAATCTATCAAATAATATTCCCACCTCCCTTGATCAGTACGCTCACTTTATTGTGTGATTGAGCCTCCATCAGCCTCTAAGCTTGCAGTATTCTTGTTTCTTGGCCTTACTGCCCCTCACTCTTCAGTTCTGGTTTCAGAACTGCAAGAAACCTTCGTAACAGGGTTTCGCTAAACAGTTGGTGATGTCACAGTGACTTTGTCCATCTTTTATATACAATCTCTGGTTTTGATCTACAACACCAAATGAGGCTCTTGACTCAAATGCCCTGTGGATGTCTGTTGTTTTTCCCCAAATTGTGCCATATTCCCATCTGACCAGAAGGGCCTCACTAGAAAAAAAACAAACCATGTAGCTCATATGTTGGACGGGAAACTCGTTAGCTTGATAATTGATTTCTTCATGGCTGCCATCTTTAATCTGAGTTAATAAATGAGGAAATGTGATGATAACTTAATTAGAATTTAAAGGCAATTGAAGGTAATGGGTAATTGAGAGGTTTGTTTGTTATTGTTTTTCTGAAGGAGCCCGCGTGGATGCCCTTGATCGAGCTGGCAGGACCCCACTGCATCTAGCACGCTCTAAGCTGAACATTTTGCAGGAGGGAGATTCACGCAGCTTAGAAACACTGAGAGGGGAAGTCACACAGGTAGAAAATGGCTTTACTTTCTTAGAATAGTAGATGCAAACTGAGTTTGGAAACACACAGTCTGACTCTGCCGCTCTTCCCCATTGATGGAGAATTTTTATGTTTTTGTTTTTTTATCTGCCTGTCAGATTATTCAGATGCTGAGAGAATACCTGAATTTAATGGGCCAGAGTGAAGCTAAAGAGAGGCTGGAGCACATTTCGACACAGTTGGAGCACACGCGCACCAAAGAGCAGGTGAGACCTCATCACTCAGTCTTCAATTCTCCTATTCAGATGGACACATAATATTTGGACAACGCAACAAAACTTTAATATGTATTTTAGATTTGTGTTTTTTTTTCTCACCAGCTCTTACACAGCTCTGTGGTTTTCTTACAGGTGGATGAAGTGACTGACTTATTGGCCAGTTTTACATCACTCAGTCTACAGAAACAGAATTTGGGCGACAGGTAGAAGATAAAACACTGAAGAAGTGAAACTCAGCGCCTCTTTTTTTGGGGGGGGGCACAAGCTTCTGCTTTACTAGCTTCGACCTGGCCAGCACGAGCTGAACCACCACACTGTGGTCATCTCTTAAACTGAGCGTTAAGATAAATTGCCCTTTGGAACAGTTGTACTTTTTGTTATATATGTTTGTTTTGGTAATTATTTGGTTGTTCTCAAACTGTGGGCTGTACCTCACTGGTGGGGTACAAAGCCACTGCATGTGGCTTAATGTGTGTGTGTGTGTGTGTGTGTGTGTGTGTGTGTGTGTGTGTGTGTGTGTGTGTGTGTGTGTGTGTGTGTTTAAATGAGTGTTGTTTTGATGTTATGCTGACGTTTTTTATTTTTAAATTAATGAATGCCAAAAATTGTGCGTTTTGGTGATTGAACTTAAACAACGGTGAGAGTTTCGCAGTCTGTCCAGGGTGCTAACAGTGCTACACAACATTATTATCTTGGCTAAAATGATTAGATGCTAATCATATAAGAACCCCCCTCACCAGGACAAAACACACTGAGAACAGGAAGCTAGTGGAAGTGCTGCGCGAGTGACAGCATTTGAGTCAACGTGCGATTGTGTTTGTGTGCTCATGCTAATTTCTTGCAGGTTACCAGTAAAGATTATTTGAGACAAAATAATTTAACATTTAT